CAACCACTGAAGGAACTCCACAAACAAACCGAAATGATGCAGATCAATTCGAGGGGGAACCACCTACACATACTTCTTCATTGGAACAAACACCAAATCCTCCTTTAAATACCCCATCCCCAAATATCCAAAACAATCCCGATGCATCATTTATGGGGAACCTTCAAACCTATTCCAAGATGAAACTCCCGGAGAAGAACAATGGGATACTGAAATTCCAATTATTATAGCGGAAGAGAATCGCTTAATAAAATGGACCAGAAACCACCCAACTGACCAAATCATCGGAGATCCAAACTCAGGCATCCAAACTAGAGCCGCAACTTCTAATGATTGTTTATTTGGAGCCTTCTTATCCATGACTGAACCCAAAACCATACATTCTGCTCTCAAAGATCCAGACTGGGTAAAAGCTATGCAAGAAGAGCTAGAAGAATTTGAAAGAAATGACGTATGGAATCTTGTCCCTACCCCACCCGATGTTTCTGTTATAGGTTCAAGATGGGTATTCAGAAACAAAACTGACGATCAAGGAATCGTTTGTCGAAACAAGGCACGTCTCGTAGTCAAAGGATATTCACAACAAGAAGGAATCGACTACGATGAAACATATGCTCCAGTTGCCAGAATTGAAGCAATTCGCATCTTTCTTGCATATGCTGCACATAAGAACTTCAAAGTATTCCAAATGGATGTTAAATGTGCATTCCTACATGGAGAGTTAGATCGCGATGTATACATCCAACAACCACCAGGTTTCGAAGATCCCAAATTTCCTGATCACAGCTTCAAATTGCAGAAAGCTGTCTATGGCTTGAAACAAGCACCCCGAGCCTGGTATGCCACATTGACAACCTTTCTCGAAGAATCAGGTTTTAAAAGAGGTTCAATCGATCAAACCCTCTTTCGTAAAATCTATAATAAACATCTTTTAATCGTACAAATATATGTTGATGACATTATTTTCGGTTCTACTGATGAATCTTTGAGTATTAAGTTTGCAGATCTAATGAAGAGCAAATTTGAAATGAGCATGATTGGGGAGATGACTACTTTTCTCGGACTTCAAATCAAACAGTCAACTGATGGCATTTTCATCAACCAAGAGAATTATGTCAAAAACCTACTCACTCGCTTTTCAATGGACAAATCCAATACCGCAAAAACCCCAATGGCTTTTGGATACAAAATCGATGCAGACTTAAATGGCAAACCTGTTGATCAGAAAAGATATCGTGGAATGATCGGATCACTCTTATACCTCACTGCCAGCAGACCTGACATCATGTTTTCTACATGTGTCTGTGCCAGATACCAAGCAAATCCTATGGAATCCCATGTAGTTGCTGTGAAACGCATCTTCAAATACCTAAAAGGCACTCCCAAACTTGGCCTTTGGTATCCAGCTAAATCCGATTTTCAGCTGAACGCTTTCACCGACTCAGACTATGGAGGATGCAAGTTAGATAGAAAGAGTACATCTGGTAGCTGTCAATTCCTAGGAGGTAGACTAGTGAGTTGGACTTCAAAGAAACAGACTTGTGTATCCACATCAACAGCAGAAGCTGAATACGTCGCTGCCGCCAGCTGTTGTTCGCAAGTCATATGGATGCAAACTCAACTGCGAGACTATGGCTTCAAAATTTCACAAATTCCCATATTTTGTGACTCAACCAGTGCAATTGCCATTTCTCACAATCCCGTTCACCATTCCATGACAAAGCACATCGACATTCGATATCATTTCATCAAAGACAACATTCAAAAGGGTCATATCGAATTGCACTTCATCAACACCGAAGATCAAATTGCCGATGTCTTCACTAAGGCTCTCGATGAAACAAAGTTTCAATACTTCCTAGGCCGTCTAGGAATGTTAAATCCAGATAACATCTATCCTTAAACTTTTACTTTTTGTTTGTACAAAAGTGTGTTTACTTTCATTCAAAAGGAAAATTCAAAAACAATTGAAAATTGCTTTCCTTTTAAAAATACCAAAAACATTCAAATAACCAATATTTCCAAAAACATTCAGAAAAACAAATCTTCAAAAAAAAATTAATAAAAGACTTGCCATAATAAGCTTTTATAGAACCTTGTGATTAATCTTCTCTTGACTTAATTTTCAGATGCTTATGCTCGATGAAGATTTTAAGTCATATTGATTCTCAATTGGAGTGAAGGTTCAAATATCCTACTTTTCATAATGTATATAACTTTATTTCCTTCGATTTTATTTCATTATTGACGATTTTAAACAATCAAGGGACATAAGGTTAGGAGGTTCAGATGAAAACAAAAACCCATGTGAGAATTTGTGCCTCGTCGATCTAAATCATTGTGGAAATCATTTCTTGTGAGCTTAGGTGTGTCACTATTGCTTATAAGGTATACCCAATTATACCTTGTCACGGTCTCATTTTTGCTTAGATATCAAAATGACCAGGGACGATACATTCATTTCTTACATACTAGACAAACTGTCTTTTATGCCACCTATCCCTACCTAGATAAAAGCCAACCAAAAATGAAGACTTGCGATCCCATGATCCATCAAGCAAACAACGACATATCCTTACAAGAAAACCAAAGGAAAACAAATATCTATCAACATCCAATCCTCAAAGACAAATCAACAAGAAAACAAATGGATTCAATAAAGATATACCAAACAAAACAAAAAAAAATATTCTATATTTGGTATTTTCAAACAAACTTTCAACCAAATGGTTATTTCAAAACAAAAATCATAAAATCCCGCGATTTGTTTTAACCATTTTTCACAAAAGAAGATATCTCAATCACTCAAGTCAAATACTCTTAAAAAGGTCTCAAATGTAGCAAATTCTCAATGCTAAAACAAAATATCTTTTTACAATAAATCGATATTGATCAACAAACAGGATACTATCAAAGAAGAAGCTGCAACAACAATGGATTTCCCGGGATACTGTAGCCTTCATCACTGAAGAATCTTAGTTGCAAACTGCACTATGAAAATTGCTAAACCCCTCTACATGTATTTCCCGACGGAGAGAGAGTGAACTTTAATGGCATGAATGAAGAAACCCGCTGAGTAATGCCGAAACCAGTCTTATGTGATTGATTATCTAATAATGAGACTAAGTGACTTTACAGGAAAAGCATAGCTGAACACCTCCAATATGAGTGTGAGTCGTCAGAGAGAGATATCACTCATTTTTAGTGATCATTAACTTGTTCTGCTGCCAGAACAACCAAACACCCAAGTGAAGTGTGAGCTATACCTATGAGCGTTCATCTGAATCGACCTGTTAGACCACTTGTCGTCATTAATAATGCTATAAAATCTAAGGAAATTTCTTTAGATACATATATGACTACCCTTTGATAACCGAACCCGAGACTTTGATTCGGAAACAAATTTCTGAAAATCTTTTACATAAGATATGTTAAACCAAGTCACAAACTTTCAAAAGATTACAATGGTTTTATATATATCTTCTCATTGACAAAACTTTTATCCCAAATCTTCAAGATTAAAACTGTTAATGTGATTATATCTATCCTTATTTCATCAATGATCACATAGGGGGAAATTGTTGAAAAATGTTTTTGTATGTGATCATCACTGAAATAAGACGAACTGTTTTTTATGTTATCTAACAAATATTATCAGTTATTTCAGGTTGCATTAATGCGTGATCAAACGGAATATGCGTGAATGACAGAAAACATAGACGAGAAAATTTAGCTACGACTAAACAGATATATATATATATATATATACATATTGTATATTGTATATATATATATATATATATATATATATATATATATATATATGGAAAGAAATGAACAAAGCAAAAGAACCCCCACCATGTGTGCTACCAACTATTACATCCACCAAGCTATTTCTTTTTCATAAACAAACACAAGTGGAAGAGTTGTTTGATTCATTTTTGCATATATATATGTATGTATACGTGAGTTTTGAGGGAGAGTGGAAGTGTAAGTGTGTTTTGTGTTTCCTTGTAATATATCTCCTATTACTCTCTCATCTCCAGAAGAATAAACACATAGCCAACCTCAAAATACTCTCCAAACACCCTCCAAATACCCTCCTTAAACCTCCTCCAAAAACCCTTTCAAATCACCACAACCATCATCACCTTGCTGATTTTCGACTTCAGAATTTGCAAGTTAAGAAAAAATTCACCGAGCACAACTCAACAAGATAATACGGGAGAGATTTGCAACGCAAATTATTCAGGACCTTACCTACATCCAGAAATTTTCCTCTATTTTTTTGACCACTGCAAACCCCAGAGAGACACGAGAGAGAATTGGCTATCCAGAGAGATTTACTACGAAAATCTATATTCATAACCACCCAAAGCTCTTTCAACATCACCCTCTTTGTTACCTTATACCACCAAAACTACAACCTTATTCCACCTTCTACCACCCTCCAAATACCCACTTCAACCTCATCAAATCACCTTAAAAAACCCATACCCACATACAAAAAACATTACCCGTGTATTTTGTATCGTTTTGTAAACAATTCATTGTTACATAAAAAGAACTTATTGTTACTTACCGGATTGAACTTTGAACAAATAGAGACACAGTCTATTAAGATCCAGTCCAATTCAAAACCAGTTCAGTCAATTTATTGACGAACCGACTTTATATATATTTATATATTTATATATTTTATTACAGCTTTACGTCATTTAAATACTGTCATTTATTTCATTTATAGCTTTCAGTCATTTATAGCTTTCCAGTTTATATTTATTCCGCACTTCTTATTTTTTTTCGCATCTTATCTCCTTAAATATATATATCTGTCACCCAGTAACTGGTATCCGAGCCTTTATTCGTGGTAATCAGATCGTATATTTTCAACAAAGCTTTCAAGAAGACCTAAGTGAAAATAAGTCAAGGTACAAACTTTATACCTTCAAGAGCTCTGAAATGCAACTAAAACTCTGGATCTTCTGCCTCTTCTTGAATTACCAATGGATCTCTTCCTTCTCCTAACTTCAAATCACACAAAAATGGCAAGAAAGGCTTTAAGACACTCAATGGTTGCTAGGGTTTCGAGAATGGACTGTGGAGGTGATGGAGGCTGGGGTGAGGACTCATAATGATGCTTAAATATGGTGCAAACCCTAAGGATTAGGGTTTCCTCCTGATGGACCTACTCGCCGAATCCATTTCTGACTCGTCGAGTAGTCCACTTAAACCCTGAGGTCCAGCTCGCACCTACTCGACGAGTTAGGGCTACCAACTCGTCGAGTAGCTCTTATAAAATGAACATTTAGAGAATTACTTTCGTACCAGGAATGGGGCGTTACAAGTATTGCACGCGAAATAATATAATCTGATGCAGATATATTAGTTTCCAAGGACGGAAATATTGCATCAATCAAAGCATTCAACGATTTTTCTTTTTCAGTGAAGGGAATTACCATATCATCAGGGATGCGAATAAAGCTTTCGTGCACTGTTTCTTCAACTCCATCACTGACACGTAATAGAAAGTCTGAGAACCATGGATCGGTTAGTGCTCTCATATTTATAGTTAACCGCAACTTGACAATCGAAAACCAAAGAGGCGACATCCGTATGCAAGCATTAACTGTCTGTGCTCGTGTTCCACGTCTAACGACCGGAAACACTTGTCTAAAATCACCTCTTAAAACCATTATCTTTCCACCAAATGGTAGCATCACCCCAGTGATATCTTTCATTGTACGGTCAATAGCCTCTAATGCATGTCTTTTAGCCATCGACGCTTCATCCCAAATGATGACGTTTGCAGTCCGAAGCAGTTGAGCAGTGCCACTTTGTCTTGAAATCCTGCAGACCGAGTTATTTTCAAGATTGATGGGAATTTTAAAGCGAGAGTGAGCTGTTCTCCCCCCTGGCATGTTATTAGCCGCAACACCCGATGAAGCGGTGGCGAGTGCAATATGACTACACGAACGGATATTAGCAAGTAAAGCTTTGTACAAAAATGTCTTTTCTGTTCCATCGGGACCGTCTATGAAGAACACTCCTGGAATATCATTATCGGCATGCCGCATGATCTCATCATATGCAAATTTCTGTTCAGGATTGAGAAAATCTCGGGCCATTAAATGTTCAGATTCTATAACTATAGAACATTCTTCTTGTACCTCACGAAAAACTCCAAATTCTAAATCGACATTTTGATCTATCTTTGGAATATCAAAATCATCAATATCATCACCCATAGATTGTAGGAATACCATGATGTCGGTGAGGACCATATTCTGGACTCTCTCGATACTTCCGTATTGTCGCCTATTATCTTCTGAAAGTGCATTGTAGTGGTCATTCCATAACATATGAACATCTCCTGGCTCGCAAAAAACCAAAATCATTGCAAACAACCTTCTAAGAGCATTGGGAAATTGAAAGAAAGATGCCTCTGTAAGACATTGTGATAAACCATCATCGGACTCTATTAACCCTCTTTCAAGAGCTGCTTTTCGAAATGTTGGGTGTTTTATGTTGTTGACTGTGTAGAGATCTTCAAAACATGTCGGGCCACTAATATGTGATAAAAGGAGTCGAAGGTAGTATCGCTCCCCTTCAGGGGGATTAGCAGAAACCAAACGACCTCGCATTAGTCCTTGTTGTCGACGATTCCAACGACGTAAATTCGGATCCCACGTAAATTTTTTTTTGGAAAATCTCTATATTTATATTCTCTCGCACTGATATCTTCTTTATTTTTTAGAAAAAATGCAGTCAAAATTGATCTCTTATCTCTTTCCCTTTCAACAACGTCAGTCAACATATCATCCTCACTCAACCTAACCATCTGCTGACCTGGGAGATGCACCTGTAAAGCCATTACACAAGGGTATATCTGAGAAAGAGGGAAGCTAGAAATCCTCCATATTGCCTCGGGAGGCGAGACATATCGTGCATCTTGAAACCGTTTTATCTCATTGATAACAACAGGTTGTCCATCCGGATCAATATTGATAACTTGTTTGTCGTGACCTTTGTAAATATACTTAAACACATATTTCATAGAGGTTATACTCAAGCAGACCTCAACGTTCATATGACAATTAAACATCATTAACAACTTTCGGTTATACGGGACCACCCATCTGTTATCCATCTTATGGCCTCGTATGTCAACCTCTATACCATTATCCCTCCTTCGGTACACAGGATATGAGTCCTTTCCTTGTAACGTGGTTTCGTTGAATTGTCGAGGGTATCGAAAACGACATTTCTTTTGTGCATTATTCATATAAGGACAATCTGAATTTAAGCTACCGCAAGGACCATGTATCATGTGTGAGACAACCAGTTCATGCATTTTAGGATGCCTTTTTGGGTCTGGAATTTCAGCACATACTATTTTGTCATACTGGTCTACATTAGTAAGCTTGTGTGGAGGCATCATTATCAAGAGGAAATGTGCATGTGGCAAACCGCGTTTTTGAAACTCAATGACATAAACGTGTGCGCCCACCACACCAAGGATGTGCTTCTTGAAGAGTTGTTTCTTAAGATCCTCTAACTTAGCACGAAAAACTCTTGACACAAGGTCTGGTCGATCTTGAGCTGTCTGCCAGGGGAGTAACTCATTTTTTATTTCTGGCCAGTTTGGATTGCATGTCATTGTTAGGAATATGTCAGGCTTCCCATCATCTTGAACTAAAGTCACGGCGTCAAGAAATCGTTGTCGCATGTCACGGGGGCCTCCGATGAAACTTGCAGGCAACACAACACGTTTCCCTATCATAGTCGGTCGAACCTCACCAGCATTAACACAGTCCACAAGACCTTGGTATAAATCAGCTCTTATTTTGGACAGATTTTTTCTAAAAAATTCCAAACGTGAAGTCTCAAGCTTGATGTAGATATCTACCACAAATTTTTGTAGTAATCTCCCTCCCAACAAAATTACATTATAAGTTGACTGGATTTGAAACTTATAGCAATAGTACTCTCGCATACTTACAGTATTCCGCCCTGTTTTTGTATTAGAGTCTACACAATGTTGATGTGAAAAAAAAAGAATTAGTGATATGTACAGAATGTAAGGTTTGTTAGTTTACATAAAATCTAAAAAGTTATGATATGTGTACCTTCTAAATCCTCCTCGCATTCTTCATCGTCATTAATAATATTATTGATGGGAAATCCATGTCTTGGGATATTATAATGCCATCCAGACTCACCATTAGGAAAAAATAAAGGATAACACAATGGATCATAACATCCCCAATAACACTGAATTGTTTGCGGTTTGTCGGATTTTCCATAAACGATAATACTTCGTTTATATGCGGCTATGTTGTCGTTACCTTCAACCCAAATACCAGTAACCTGAGGTTTTTATGATAGAAACGATTTGATTAAATATGGTGTGTAATATGCACAGTCATATGTCATACATGATTTATTTATTTTATAATTTGTAAACAATAAGTATTATGGTACCTCAGATGTGGTTGGTCGGTTGTATACCCTTTGATCAAGTTCTACCGATGCATTTAAAGTGACTTTGTAATTGTCAAGCGGTCCTAGATCAGCAAGTCTTCGAAATGTCTTCACGTATGGGTTTGTAGCAAGAACACGAATTAAATTTTCAGCAATTTCTTTATCAATATTCTTCCTCTGGAGTCTATGTGACATCTCATAATCAGCATCGTAAAAATACAATTGTAAGTACCGAGGTATTCCATCTCTTGGAGTTAACTGATCGATTCTATGATATACTCCTCCATTCACACAAAAAGTGTATACTCCAGATGTCATATTTGTCAATGTTTTATCATAATTGATGCCCATTAATGCGAAAGAAAAGTTGTTGTTGTAGCAACGTATCATTTGTCTAAAGGTCCTACCTAATTCGTTTCTGGATGTGAAGAGATTGAGTAGCTCTTCAGGAATAGAGGAATGTGCTAACTTTGTCTTACCATCCATGCAACAAAAGGTAGGGAATTCAAATTGAAATCGTTTTGCTCCACAATGAACACATGGTTTCTGCACCTTCAAAACACGATGTTCTTTAGGGATACCATTATAAACAAAGTTATATGGATCCTCATGACTAATTTCAATAGGTGTTGTCGGTGAGTTTCGTTCCTTGCGTCGTTGATATGCATTTCTATTCTTAATCGACTTCCTTTGAGCAAAATCCAATACACTTGTAGGAGTTGCATTAGTAATATCGGTCAGGGTCCTCTCTAATGTAAACACATTTGTCATAGGTGTCATGTTTTGACTACTTACTTCTCCATTAGTTGTTCGTCTTATTTTCTTCTTTTCCTTTAGTCGTTCATAATATGTCTTATTATACAATTTCCTTTTTTCTGCAATAATTTTTTTGGATGAATTATGCATAAAGATAACGTATTAATCATGTTGCACATATGAAACATACCCTTTTGTGCATTTACATCAAGTTGGATAGCCTCATTAGGCCTATTTTCCTTGTCTACAATCACCATGGCAACTGTAAAAACGTAAAAACAATAATGTAGATTTTTTTTTATAACACATTGTAATAAAAAAACGTTTTTTATATACAATACTTATAATCGTACTAATCGAACATTGATTGAGGTGAACTAATTATTCATATATGAGACCGATCCATACATTAAATTATATTGTTTTTTTTAATATTTGAAGTAATATTTTAATAGTTTTTGTTTTTTGTCGATATATATTTATTTGAAGTTTCATTAATTTTTTTCGGTAAATATTTCTTTCAAATTTTAATAGTTTTTTTTTCAATATTTGAAACAATACATATTGATTGATTTATATTTAAATGATATTTGTAATTTTTATTTGGTACATTATTTGTTTTACTTATTATACAACTCTATAAATATCTCATAAACAGAAATAACAAAACTAAATAATATAAACAAAGTAGTCAAACAAAGAAATTATAATTTATAAACTTAAAAGTTTTAAATCATTATAACATACTAAAAATCCATATCACAAAACCCGCAAACAAATAAATATAAAAAGTACCAAAGCAAACAACCTCCTAAAAATCAGCAAACACATAACTACCACATAATCCGCAAACAAATAACTACTACATAATCCGCCAACAAATAACTGTAGAAAAATTAATTATTCTCTCTATCTCTAATTTTAATTCGCTCAGCTTCCAGTATCCTTGGATCCAACGTGACATCAGTTAATACAGTAGAAACCAAAATATTATTTGTATGGACATGTAATATATAGTTAGTAAGGTATATTAAAATAATTAATATGGGAATAATGAAACTATATATAATGTTGCCCACAATTAACTTACGCAAATTTAGGTGGACCAACTTGACCCTAGAGACATAAATTATTGATTGATTGAATATTGCAAGATACAATGGTATCATAAAGCTCATCGGTACGTGATTGAACATCAACTTGATAATATGTCCCCTATTGATTTAAACAAAATGTTGTTAAAACACATAATAACAATGAAAATTGGTTAATATATTTAAATATAATACATTATGTTAGCGTGTGTATATATATATATATATATATATATATATATATATATATATATATATATATATATATATATTTCATTTTGGAGAAATAGTTCAAATGCATAGAATGGTGTAATTCGTCTTCCCCAAACGATTTTTCCAGTAACATCTAAAATATATCAAAATTACTATAAATTTAATTTGTCGTATGCAATTCATAAAAACAAAATATATATAATTCAATATATAAATGTACCAATCATCATTCTTCGATTGCTAAAATCTCTTGCGAGGCTTGTGATAGAAGAACATAATGGATAATGTGGAAATGAATTGGTGACATCATTTCCCAATCGAGTAAACACCGTGTTAATTTTTATCAGTATTGCCCAATCACCAAAGAAAATTTTGTAACTTTGATAGGCGGGGTGATTTTCGTAAAACTGATCAAATTTGAAATGATTTAAGGACAATACACGTCCAACCAAATTCATGTTCAAAACTGTTTGCCTTAAACATTGTGGGACGATGGCGATCATTTTGTCTCTCTAGATATGTAAATAATAAATAGAACATTAGACAAAAAAATGACATATTTATTTTACTGTATTAATACTTACGTTACGATCAATCAGCCAAATCAGGACTCGGTTATTTTCAACGTCGTCCCACACATATAAAACTCGAACAACTAATATGTTCCACCATATGTAAACGCTTCGCAATGTCGAAAAATTTTGAACAGTAATATGACCATCCATCACTGAAATATTTTTCAATTAAATTTATATTTTACATATCAATTTTTTATATTTTGTTTAAAAAAATAAATCACCCAATTTTATTGAAAATAATAAAAATTTAAATGTTTACATTTATTATCCTATATATTAGCACAAAATAGTCTTAACATAATGAATTATAATAAAAATTGTGGATTTATTGGAAGACAATAAAATAAATAGTATAAAAAAAGCTTCTTGAAAAAATTAATGGGTTATGGTAAAGTTGAATCGTTATTTAAAAAACAAATTAAATCAATTGAACATATATTTTAAACATTTTTTTGCTTAAATACATTCACACATTTAATTTAATCTGATTAATATATCTTTATTTATAGGAAGATGCATTTGTGAATTCATTTTTCTAACCCAAAAGAAGCCTTCACCCATCTTCCTTTTTCTAACCCTAAAGAATCTAACACTCATCTACCACTCTTTCTCTCCCAAGCGCATCTACCCTTTTCATCGACCTCATCTGATCCGTTTAACATCCAAACACAGCCTCCACGCGTACAACCTTCATCAATAGAAACCATCGGCGAATACCACGACCACCTCAAACGGCCACCGGATCCTTCTCATCTATAAACCCTATCTCTCATCTGGACTTACACGACGATTGCAAAACAGAGTTACGTTGACACCAGATCTGGACATCACCATAGATCGAAATCGATGCAATTGTTGTTTGGAGAAACCCACTGGGGTTGCGTTGAGGATATGCCGGTTCTTATTGGTTGCTACTTTTTTGTTGCAGAGACGCGTCTGCTTATGAATTTACAGGTTCCGACACTTTCTTTTGGTCTAACTCTCATCCTCTATATCTATCTCTCAACCATATACCTAACAGAAAAGCCCTAAACCAAGAATTTATTCTATAATTTTCAGACATTTGAAGGAGAGATCAACATGAAGTGCTTGTTTACTCATAACTGCATCTTCTTCAAGGAAAGTGTGACATCCCCATTTTCACGGCCAGAAAAGACCGGTTTTGTTTATGCTTGTTTGAAAATCAGAGTAACATTTTAAATAAAAGTGTTGTGGAATTTGTCTCAAAACAAAATATGATAAAGATTTATCAAAAGCATTTCCAAGGAAATGTATTTCATTAAAAGACTCGGGATGTCATGTTCGATACAGATCAAAAGCATAAACAGTACAATATAAGCCTTACTACATTATTTCGTATCTACAGGCCTATATCCGTAATCCCTCATCCAAAACATCACATCTATGCTCGAGCGCCACTACCTGTAATACATGAAACTGAGTGGGTCAGGCTTGGGAGCCTGGTGAGCACATAGGGTTTTTAACCCACAATAAAAAAGTTTATTAATTTCATCAATCAACAATAACCCGATTACCCGTTCCCATTATCCTCACTTTACGTCCCTAAACACGTATCATAAGGGACCTAGCCTAAGGATCATCATCGGGATGGTCACTACTGCTAAGGGGGTTCCTCAGCAATAAATGTCCTAAAGGCAACCATGAGGGGGATGGAGTACACCGGTGAACACATCGTTCACAAACACCTACAAGTTGCGAGCCTGCTAGCGTTCCACTGGACTGTCTAGAAGAGTTCGTGGTTGTCATCCATACTCCGCTAGATGACAGAATCAACAACAACAACATCGAGGCCTCTCATCATTTTATCACACATCGTCTTATTACATCTACCCATGTTTTACCCCAACATTTTTGTAGATATAAAATACATATACAGTTTAAATCATTTAAAACATGTATAAAAATCGTTCATCCAGCATAGATAGCAAGTATACAGATAATATGCACACGTAGCACGTAATTTATATAAAATACTTCATATCTATGTGTAAGATGAAAGTAACTATGCACTCACCTGATTAGGTGGTGACTCGGTACTTGAACAGCACTGCGTTATCTCAAAACAATTTTTCTTTGACCAAAACCTAGTATCGATACCACTAGAGTTTAGTTTTAACGTTAACCGCGACTAATTAATAGTTTAGCTATTATTATTATTATATAAGCGTTAAATAACACTCATAATAATAGCCCAAGTAATTATTTTAAGGACCTAATAACATTACTATAATTATTTAAAAGTTATATTAAAAATTGCGTAGGCGTAGCTCACATACAGTGGATTTTAAAGAAAACCAGGCTTTGCTCGGAGCAGCCTTTCCGAACCGAAAGACCCTTTTTCTCGGAACTCCGGGAGCCTCGGGGCTTCCTTTGGGTGCTAAGGATTTTTCCTAGGGTTTAGGGGGTTAAAATGGGTAGTGAGAGAAAGTAGAGAGAGAAAGGAATGGAGAAATTAGTGAAAAATCCGGAAACCCTCGCCCCCCCTTTTATAGCCTGCGAGGCCTCGGACTACGTTGGGCGTAATCCTTGGCTACGCGGGGTGTAGATCGGATAGGGCTCCAGCTCGCGTACAGCTGGCTCGCACTCGGACTCGGAAGGATAAGGCTAAGTACGCCGGGCGTACCCAGATTTGGACGCGGGGCGTAGAGCGAGGCTTCGTGGCGATCATCAGATGCGAGGCCGTGCTCAGCAACCAACGGCTGAGAATCTGCCACGTCACCACCTCCTTGTAGATTTGGGCGTTCTTTTTATGGACGCTCTTGGTTTAACGTTTTCTACGACTTTCTTTTAGATCGCTATGGCTAAAAGTCGCTTTATCGTAAATTCACTATTTACGCTTCCGTGCCGGTTCCGTCGCGAAACTTCGACGGGTCATAACTTCTTCGTTATAACTCGGATTTCGGCGTTCTTTATATCTCCGGAGTCCTTGTTTCGACCACTACAACTTTATGTAAAGATATGGGGCTTATCTCATACTTTAATTTTGACGCTTATTTTTATTCTTTATTAATTATACATTTATAATTAAACAATAAGCATGTAAATTCACATAATTCACAAAATACTCAAATATTTCATCTTTATTACATCAAAAGAGTTACAATAGTTGACCTAGACTATTACATCGTCTAAAATGCTTAGCCCCGAAACTCGGGCGTTACAGAAAGGTATGCATCATTAGCTATGTTTGTGTCATCTCAGTTAACATCATTAATGTGTTTTAGATTATCCTTGTTCTGATGATATAGAATGAGAAATAAAGGCCAAAATCACATTCATAAACTAAGCAATTTATTTATTTTTTCAGGAAAATCTTAAGAGAGACCATCAGAAAGTGTTTATCACATAATCGCCTTCTTCCTAATGGATTGTAGGAGGATTCTACTAATTGCCTTTTCTGTTGCATAAAGTTTCTCAATCTTATTTCTCACTCTCTCCATGGCTTTAAAAGGTCAGTGTTTACTCTCACCTTATGGTGTTTCCTCTCCATTTCAGGTTCTAATGTTTGAATTTCAAACAATTTTGATATACAGGTTCAAAAATAAAATCCCATATAATCTTTACATTGGGAGCTTAGTTAAGATAATTGGATAATACATATAAGAGGTGCTTTTATTTGTTATTCAATGCCCAATATTTCCTTATAAGCAACTTTGGTCACTTAGGTAGTTGTATTAGATAATGAAAATTAGAAAGTCAACTGTGATATTAATGTGCCTAAGTGTGATCTTGATCAGTGTCTTGTAATTTATAAGGCTTGATTATGTGTTTGTGTCATCTCAGTTAACATCAATTAATGTGTTTTAGCTTATCCTTGTTCTAATGGTATAGAATGAGAAATAAAGGCCAAAATCACTTTCATAAACTAAGCAATTTATGTATTTTTTTTTTCAGGAAAATCTTAAGAGAGACCATCAGAAAGTGTTTTTTTAACTCAAAATCGGTTCATCCTCACTCATAGGTTTTATTTACTGTTGATGGCTCCTTAAACGGTTCTGATTTTGGTATATCATCTGATACTATTACGAATTTTGTGTAGGTGAAACCAGTGGAATGTGATTATCACACAAAATTAGAGGAGTAATGTTACGGTTTTACTGGCACATTGGAAACCTAATTGACAAAGATACTAAATTTGTGACATGAGATAAGGTATATATGTGTACTTATTTTTATTGAACATTATTTTGGTATATATATTGACATATTGATATTTTTTAACAATTTTTGGTGTTTATATGATATATCAAGACTGCATGGGTTGCCGACAGATCTTGATTGTCTGATATTTCATTTCTTAGATGAAGATAGTTACATGGCGATGCGACACAGGTAACTAAATTTATGAAGTTGTTTAAATGAAATACTATTGTTCTTTACCTTTATGTTTTTAATGGTGATTTTGTTTTTATGAATCAATGTTGGAATTGGAGTATGAATCATTCTAATATAAGTATCCCAATACATATTAATATAATAAGAGATAATCTTAAGGAAAATACACATACCTGTTTTACTTTGATGATGCCGATAGAATAGATTGTTGCTATGAACCTTATAGAACAAACGTCTTCTATGCCTGTTGAAAGAAAAACATAGTTATTGAATATGGTGTATACATGAGGAAGTAAAAATTATAGTTTAAAAAAGATGGAAAACATACGTATAAGCAGATTGTGGAACCGGTGAAAGTTTTCTCTCTTAATCTGAATCACAGATTCTGTTTGTCAATAAAGTATCGTGATAGTATACATATATATTCTAATAAATCTGTTTAAAGTTTGTTATGAATGGATAAGATACAATTCATATATATGTGCATGTATATTTAAAAAATTGTTTTTAAAATTCGTAATCTATTTAGATATGCATTATCTTTGAATCTGATAAATAATCAATATTTCGGTATTAATTTAATAAAAAAATTATTTATCGGTTTTGAGATGTTTAACATTGAAATTCATGGTGCTTTTTGAAACATAGAAAATCCATGTGAGTCATTTTTCTAAAATAACTTCCAGGGCCAGAATGGTCAATGAGACGCCAACCAACAATAAAAATAAAATGAGGCAGCATTGCCCGAAATAGCAATATAGATTTATTCATTGAAAAGCATTTTATTTTTTAAAACCCACTCAATATTAGCAATATCCACTAACGTAGGACTTTTAGATTGTAGAAAAAGTGAAATTATGATGTTGTATTTGGACAGAAGGAATATTTTATTGAGTTAATTGCTTATCATATTGTTTGTATCAGGTACTATTTTTCAGTGGTGGTTTGCTATAGAACATGTGATGGAATAGAGTTTCAAAGATCATCAAATATGATGGATTTAAGGTTTATCGTGGACTCTATGGAGTTTAAACATCCTCTATGTAACATCGACAACTGAGGTATTGTTATTTTATCTAGGGTGAAAAATCTACAAATAACAATGATAATCATAAAAAAACTTAAAATACCAACATCAGAAAATGTCTAACTTTATTTAAACAATCTAGGGAAGGAAAAAACATAAAATCCGCGCTTAACAAAATACTTCTAATAAAAAAACTTAGGAGTCCACAACTGCATCTTCTTACTCGTCACCAAGCTGATAACCCTTGCTTCGTGTACGAATCGTGACTCGGGTTTTCTTGATTGGTCGGGTAACCGTTGTTGAAACGGATGTATCAGCCGTTGTTGAAACGGACCTTTGCTTCATCATTCACCCGTTCATCTTCAGAACATGAAATATCAATAACTTCGTCACATTTCCAGTTTGCCAATGCCAACTCTCTTTTCTTTTGTTTTGCAACACTCCATTCATGCAACATGATTTTAACACATTCAACTTGTTCATTAACCTCTTCATCAGTCCAAATCCTCATTTTATTTCTTAGGTGTATTAATATTGGTATTAAAAATTGAGTTTTACTGAAGCGTACTTGAGACTATTTATAGCTCATTTTCCCGCTAAAACACAATACTATCCCTAAAATTTAGGAACGAAAATATTTAAACTTTTGAGTACCTTATCGTGAATAAGTCAATATATTATCTTTTTGTAATATGATTTTTATAAAGTTTGATTGTATAAAATATCATTTTCATAAAAATCACAGTTTCTTTATATACCTATACATGTTACCGACTTTATAGAAGAAAAACCAAGTGAAGTTCCTAGACTCCTAGAGAAATATTTTATTATTTAGCATATTTAAAATCGTAGTTAAAATGGTTTCTTATGGTAACCATTCACTTTATAGAGGAATTTGCGCTATCCTATTAAATTAAATCATTTAATTTAGAATGTATGTAGATGGAGGTTTGGGGCATTCAAGTATAGATGTTGTTGCTGGTTTAAACTGTCATTTACCTTATGTGAACCATAATAGAAAAAAAACTATAAAAGTTGTATTTTATGCTATGCTATCAATAGCGCGCTATAGCGGTGCTATAGCGGCGCTATAGCGTTTTGCGGTTATTCTGAACCGCTATTTTGAAATAGCGTTTACGAATAGCGGTGGCGCTATTAGCGGCGCTATTGACCGCTATTTACCGCGAACCTCATCAGCGCTATAGCGACGCTACACCCGCTTTTACAAATTCGTACATATTAGGCTACTTTGACAAAGAAAAAAACGATTGTGTGTTATTTCAATATTAAATCTTTATTTTTTTACTAGTCCACTACACTTTTTGTCTTAATAAGTCCAAATAATAAATATAATTAATTACAAACTACAAAAAAACAAACGGCAACTTTCTTTTCTCGTCTGTTTCAGTCTTTAGAAACCACGAACGACTTCAGCGGCGATGACATTTTGACACTTTTTAGTTTCCATATTACTATATTAGAATATTATATATAGATTATGTTATGTTTTCATATGATTTTTTATGATATTAATTCTATATAGTATTAATAATCTAATATATAAATTTTATATAAATATATACTATAAATTATACATAATATTAAAAACCGCTATACCACTGCTATACCACCGCGATAACCGCGATTTCAAATAGCGGTATGTGACCGCTATTGGAATTTCAACCACGATAACTGCTTAGATTTTATGTTGACTTTTCAAAATAAAATGCTCAGATAATATAACAATATAAACATATATTTTCATGAGTGGTTATGAAATTATTTATGATTCTGAAATATTGTCTTTTTAAATTTGTTTATCAGGTTACTGAATATATATATATATATATATATATATATATATATATATATATATATACCAAAACAGCCCTTGCTTTTAAAATTAATACCAAACACCCGTTAATACATTGTACTTCCATTGTATTATTTAAAAAACAGCTCATGTGGAAAAGACATCATGTAAGAGCATTTTGTTTTGAAAACAGCCTTTGACTCAAATATAGTTTTATTTTTCGTATCTGGTTTTTGAAAATGGATAACTGATGAGGTATCCGAATACCACAACATCATACTTTCATTTCTTTATACTACACATTCTACTCTAATGGTTTTCTCAATCAGACATTGTACTTCAATTATTTGTATAATGTTGTAATAAGAAATGAAAGTAGGATGCTATAATAAACAATAAAGAATAAACAAATATACTATGAAAATTATGATTCAAAAACCATAAATTCAATAATAATCATAAGAAAAAACTTAAAATCCCATTATCCTAGTAGCTAAAACCATATATTTCTAAATATAAAATACCAAATTTATGACTTGAATGTACTACCAAAAGTCATTCAAATTATTAAAAAACTAAAATTAACGCTCATTCTTCATCAGGCCAAGCCACATCAGCTCTTGTTGGATGACATACATCATTTTCAACTGGATTTGGCTGGATCACACCTACATCATCTTCAGCCTGATGTGGCGCATCATCTTCACCTTGTATTGGCTGGTTCATATGTACAGTTGAGTCCAACAAATTTCTGCAAAAGGTAATTTAAAAATAATATTAATAAACACCTACAATTTGAAAACATTACAAATAATCAATTTAGCATTAAAGTGATTAAAATTTAAAAATATAATATATAAACTAAGTTATTTTTATGAAATTATGAAATAACTGTTTTAATACAAATGATAATATCAAGAAATACCCATAATCTTCGTCATCTGATAGATGATGAAGCTTAAAGAACCTGTTTCGCATCTGGATTGTGAGTCAGGGCATTTTGAACGGTTTTACTAACTCAGTTGTATCTGTTGTATCCACATCTTCATCAGTCAACTGATGTTGATTATCAGAACTTTCAAGATCAATAACTTCATTCCATTTCCAAGATTTAAGTGCCAAATCATGTTTTTTCTTTTTTTGGAGAGAAAGTTGTTTTTCACTGGATTCATGTTTTGTTGTATCCACATCATTGTTATTTTTTTTGGAGAGAAAGTTGTTTTTCACTGGATTCATGTTTTGTTGTATCCACATCATTGTTATTTTTTGGAGAGAAAGTTGTTTTTCACTGGATTCATGTTTTGTTGTATCCACATCATTGTTAAAGGCCTGCATGATGGTTGTCGAGAAAATTAAGATTATTAATTAACATAAGTAAACATAACTTCAAAATGAAACACAAAACAATAACGAATAGATGAACATACTTTTTGATAGTTGGAATATTCAATGACTGGGAAATGGGTTGGAATTTGGCGGCAGTAGTATATATATAATGATATTACTGATAAAGTTTGTTTGTTATTTAGGGATAAAATAGGTATCATTTAAAAATTTGAATTTTAAATCCTAATCCTAATCTTGATTGTCACGTTTCATTAGATCCACCCTCCTCCAATCCACTTTTCCCGCCTAAAATATATTAATACATTTCAATAAATGCCATTCTTAATTTTGTAAACTGATTTTCCTGTAAGTTTGTTTGTTATTAAGGGATAAAGTAGGTATCATTTAAATTTGGATTTTTAAATCCTAATCCCAATCTTGTTTGTCACGTGTAATTAGATCCACCCTCCTCCAATCTACTTTTCCCGCCTAAACTATATTAATACATTTCCAGAAATGTCATTCTCAATTATGTAAACTGATTATCCTGTATTTCTGATTAATAAAAAACATTAAAAACAATTCGGTAATTAAGGCTTCCTTAATTAATTAAAATTGTCATCCTATTTAACCGGAAGATCTATAACATGTGTTGACCAAAAAATATATTATTTTGTATTTTTCAATTTCGAAAAGTTAAACGTAATAAATCTTATCTTTAAAGTTTGAAAAGTCAAAAAACTATTTATATTACGTTTGACTAATTCAATGGTTCAATTTCTAAAAGTAGGATGTTATATTATGCATATTTTAGTATATTTGGTTATAGTAATATTCTTGTAGATAAAATTGTAAAATGGAGCAAGTACATTGTGTGATTTTGTAATTTTTCCTGAAAAAAAATTGCGTATGTGAAATTGCTAATAAATCAGTTGATGATATTGAGACTTGTGTTAGACAACTTTATTAACTTGATATAATATAAATTCGCAACAAAACCGAGTACAACAATGTATTAGAACATTTAAATAAATTGGTTGTGATAACAAATAACTATAGACTTACCCAATTTGTTATGCATTTAGGTTCAAACATAAAAATTATCAACCCAACAATAAACCATAAAATCATTTACAAATAAAAAATAAACAAAAGTAGGATGCTATAATTGGAACTAAATGAAACTCTATTTACATTATGTTCATGTATTGGTCTTCATCCAATTTTCTATGTTTACCCAAGAGAAATCCATTTTTGTCGACAATCATATAACGACCATACGTTGTCCACCAATTATGATCTTTATCTGCTTCCTCATTTACATGAATGACTTCTTGTAACAGGGGTACATATGGAATTTTGGTAGTACATTCTTGTTCTTTATTTTTATTTGAACTTGATGATTTATTGGCTTGTTTGTTGACAGGTTGCACTTGAACCATTTCAATATGATTTGAAAGATCATAGCCCTCGCCATTTTTGCACTCTTCACATAACCAACCATGTTTGGGAACTTTTTTTGGCATTGTCTTCATGGCAATAAGTGTGTGCAGCGCCATCCATGCATCTACTACATATAGCAAGTAAATGCTCATACCCTGCATCTCCACATATATCACACACAATGACATCCACAACCTCTTCTACATCCATTTCCAAGTAATTTTGATCTGCAAAAACATAAAATATTATTAAAGTATATTATCTAGGTATAAAATTTCTAAGAGAGAACCATCATATCAAACATTATTTTTGATTTCTTTTGTGATTGGCATCATATGTTTGTTTCCATAATAGTTTCTAATTGTGAAGGTGAATGAGGATGAGCAACGTGCATTTGATGGTGTGTTGCATGAAGTTGAATTTGTTATACCTTTCATGCAGCAAAAAAACTATTCAAGGTATCTATCTCACCTTCCGTAAGCTTACAGTCAAGAAGAAGTTGTGGATATTAAGAACTTACCTGAATTGTTTTTTTTTTGCAGGAAAACAAACTGGAGATGGGTATTAAGAAAATTAATTAAGAATAAACATAGATGTGATAATTTTAGGTACACACACATACACACACACACAGAGAGAGAGAGAGAGAGAGAGAGAGAAAGAGAGAGAGAGAGAGATTTTGTGCCTGATTCTTTTGTATAGGAGAAAAGATCATTGGGTGATTGTTGCTGGCTGATTTGGTGGTCTTGTGATTCGGTACCTGTAAACACAAAAAAAAAAAAACACACACATACACACACCATTAAAGAGAATAGTAACTGTATCTTTTTGTTTTTTGGATGTTGTTGACTGCTTTGGTACATGTAAACACAAAAAAACATACCCAATCACCATTCAATAGGAAGCTAAAATGGTACATGTAAACACAAAAAAAAAACACACGCACGATTTCACACGATTTCATTATCTGGATATATTTTTTCTGGGTTATTGATGGCTGTGTCGCATATAGGTTAAGAGCTACCTGAACACACCAAAGAAAAAAAAAGACACCATTAACGAGAGTTAGAATATATATAGATGAAGTAGCTAAAATAAAGGGAGATAAAGATCCATTATTCAGGATTTTTGAATTTTGAAAAAGATACACATAATAAATCTTATCTTTGAAGTTTAAACATTCAAAAAACAATTTGTATTACATTTGACTGATTCAATGGTTGACCATAGATCCTGCAACGCTTTAAATGGTTGTACATATTGCATTAGGCCATGTACCTCTTAAAATTCAGCCTTTAACCAAATTTGCATAATAAGTAATATATATATATATATATATATATATATATATATATATATATATATATATTATATATATATATATATATATATAGTCAGACTAAATTAAAACATACATTGTTCCAAAACAAATATTGTTTTATAATACAAGTACTTTATCTTATAAGTATAAATAATAAACTAAACTCCAAGAGTGCAGTTTTAACTTGCTTATGCTCGGTTGCTTACTCTTCTTGAAATACCTGCAAACCGTTCACAAATATTAGATTAACATTACGTATCAAGTACTTGCGTGTTATATGAAAAGTATAAATTCTATCTACTAGATACCTGAAGTACTAGTATCTATAGACTTTCTTTTTAGATAAGAGGGATTGTTCCTCTTCTAGTGTCCTGTTTTTCTACAGAAGAAATATGATCCATGTCTATGGGCCTTCTTAGATTTTTTGGATTCAAGGTATCATTTCCATGATCTAATTGCCTCTTGAATCACACATGGTGACTCTCTTCAGCCTTGCACGCTTCCTATGTTTGATATGGCTCAAACCAAATTGCTCTGTATCTCAGACATGACGAAACATATAAAATGCTTCCAAAATTTTCAGTTCCTTCCAAAGGTCAGGAATAATTGTACCCAATATGATGTTAGAAACATCATCAGCACAACAACAATGCTTCCGCCAAACACCATGTTTAGTTTTACTGGTAAGTGTAGGTTGTTTAGGAATATGGCTTTTAATAATGTACAATTTATGATCTCTTTCGAGATCCTCGTCAAGATACGAAGCATGTCGTAGAAATTGTATCCGTCAAATGTTATATACTCTTGTAGATCAACAAAAGAATGACGATGCATGGTTATGAGATCGGCTTTTGTTTTCATCTATAAAATTTTAACAAAATTCATTTAGTATTTTTAATATTTAAAGTTTTCATCTACATTAATTATTAAAGTCTAGGATTCAAGTTGCAAAACAAATAAATGGTTAGGTGACCCTTATCCAATTCATTGAATCCAACTATGTAGATATATAGTATCATTTAGTATTTTCAATATTTAAATCTTCTATGCCTCGGATCTCTATTGCTTAGGTGACCTTTATCATAATAGATTTCCGATCAAATATTACAGTTTGAAGAACTTGTGTAATCGACCTATAACTAGGTTATAGAAATCGTGAACACACCTCGACCATCAATAGATAACACATAGCGCTTAAGTGACTTTTATCCCACTAGCATATACAAGAGACGAGTGAGTATCATTCAAATAAGATTGCATAGATTTGAGTTTAAATAAGGTGTCTTTTGATGTTTTTATAATTCTAGTTTAAAAAGCATATTATATCATGGTTATTGCATGCATCCAATAAGCCATGATATACTTTTATTTAAAATCATACTTTAGCAATGTTCTTCTATAAAATCTAAATTTTATATAATCGACACAATCAAATTTTAAATTTAATAACTAGTATTAAGTTATACTGTTTGAGCGCTAAAGAACATTTATTAGCCTTTTAATAAAACCTCATTCTATAAAATAAGATTTGAAGTTTGATAATTCTCTAAAATTTCAATTTTTAACTTATATAATTTTAATCATGAAATTTACCGTTAGCTAGTTTTTAAACGATAAAACTCATTTTATTTTTTAAACTATTTTACCATCTTATGTTAAAAGGTAAATTTCATTAAAACCAAACTCTTTTTGATGTTATTTATCATCAAAATATTATTTTGCATGTAGAATATAATTTAACAGTTATAAACATAATATCAACATAAATATAAACAACATAAGCATGCAAAACATATGTGCATAAACCAACCATAAACTGGTGACATTTTGTGAGTCATCCCAAAAATACCAAATCATTTCCTAAGGGACATAAAAGGGACAAAAAATCTTGTAATGTCTTAATTCTCCTACTTGCTTCAACACCTTGTAGCAAGTTTATAAATATAAGTTTATAAAGTTTGTAAAACTTTAATAAAATCAAGTTTATAAATTTTTGATCTTCAAAATGGCCACCATCTTCATTCTTGTTATATTTTTATAAAAATAAACAATTTCTAAAACTAATCTATTACTTACAAAAACAAACAAGATGAAAACTATCTATTTATTTATTACGTATTATATGAATATATAAATATTACAACCA